AGCGGTATTCCCACTTGGCTTTTAAATTATATCTATGCTTATGACTTGGACATCTTCTCTCCAGCCCAACTTTGCCCTGAGCTCTGGGCTTGTATAGCCAATGATTTCTTGGATGTTTCATGGGCATCTCAAACCAAACATCCCCAACAGAACTCTGCTTTCAAACCCAGATCTACAGCCTCCAAATCTATGGTTTCCAAGATCTATAGCCCCCAAATCTATAGTTCCCCAAATCTACAGATGCTCAAATCTACAACTCCCTAAATCTATTATTCCCCCAAATCTACAGCCCCTGAAATGTATAGGCCCCAAATCTAGAGCTCCCCAAATCTACAGCCCCCCTCAAATCTGTGGCTCCTCAAATCTACAACTCCCCAAATCTTAGACCCCCAAATCTGTAGCCCCCAACTCTACAGCTACCCAAATCGGCAGCTCCCCCAAATCTGCAGCCCCCCAGTCTTCCTCATTTCAATAACCAGGACCACAGGTCCCCCAGCTACCTCCCTTCTTTCCTTCACGCATCCCACCCCTTAGCAACCTGTTAGCAGCACCACTTCCCCGAATCCCAATCTGGCCATCTTGCCCCTTCCACCACCTGTATTCATCTTCAGTGCCCCATAACACGTTATTCCAGACTTAGTGGCTTGAAACAATAGTCATATCTCAGTGTCCAGTCAGAAGTCGGGGCATGGTGTGACGGGGTTCTCTGTCTGCGGTCTTACAAGATTGCGTCCCTACCTGGGCTGGGCTGCGTCCCTACCTGAAGGCTCCGGGGAAGAATCCACTTGCAGGCTCATTCAGGTTGTTGCCTGGATTTGGTTCCTCATGGCTGTAGGATTGAGATCACCGTTTCCCAGCTGGCTGTCAGCTGGGGGTCGCTCTCTGTCTCTAGAGTCTGCCTGAATTCCTTGCCATGGGGCCTCCTCCATCTTCAAAGCGGGCATGGAGACTCTCCCCTCCCTCGAATCCTCTCATGCTTCTCATTTCATTTGCCAGAAAGAGAGCAGCTCCTGTGAAGGGCTCGGCTGTTTAGGGCAGGCCTACCAAGGATGATCGCCCCATCACAAAATCACCTGGTTTGGGACCTTCATGACCTCTGCAGAACCCTTCACAGCAGCACCCAGATTAGTGTCTGATTGAATAATTGAGAGATGGCGTGTATAGACCAGGGGGCAGGAGTCTTGGGGTCCCCTTCGAATGCTGCCTACCCGCCCCCCCTTGTCCCAACTATCATCCTCTCTTCTCTGGACCACTGCACACGCCACCTCTGGGCTTTGCTGCTTCTACTCCTGTTCCATGTTGTCTGTTCTCCACCCAGCGGAGAGTGACCTTTTAAGAGCAGAGATTGCATCACCTCCCTATTTAAAAACTTCGAAGAGCTTCCCATTGTACCTAAAATAAAATCTGAGATCTTTCTCATGGCCTGGAAGGCCCCGCCTGGCCCTGCCCCTCCCCCACTCAGACTTCCTCTCCTCTCCAGCCACACTGACCTTCTTGCTCAACCTATAGTGCTCAGCTGCGTCCCACCTGAGTTTTATGCCCGCAGTCCCTCCACCTGGTGGGCCTTCCCCACCCGTCCTGAGCTCTGCGCGGCTGGCCCCTTCTCCTCCTCCAGGCCTCGGTCCGGATCCCCCCCTCAGCCTGATGCGATCCCATCCCCAGTCCTTTCAAATTACCCTGTTTTGTGATCTCTTTTATACTCACACTTTCATGTTACCTTGTTTTACTTTTAAAGAATTTGGCTCTTTCTCTGACAGTCTGACACCCGACTCTCCGAAATCACCTTCATCTATTTATTCACTGAAACACTGTCTGCCTGCTCCCGCCAGAAAGCTAACTTCACCTGCTCACCTGCGCACAGCACCCACTCACTGTGTGTTGAGTGAGGGAACGCGTGGATGTGCGATGTTTTGGACTGGTGCCCTCCCCTCCATCTCTGCCACCACCATCTGTCACCTGGGTACGCCCATCTTCGCCTCTCTCCCTGCTCACATTTGCACCTCCTCCAGAGTGTCCTCCATGAAGCTGCCAGAATGATCCTTTAAAAATACACATCTTGGGGGTGCCTGGGTGGCTCAGCTGGTTAAGCGTCCAACTCTTGATTTCTGCTCCGGTCATGATCTCAGGGCTGTGGGACTGAGCCCCGCATTGGGCTCCGCACCGGGGGTAGAGTCTGCTTGTCCCTCTCCCTCTGCTCCTCCTCTCCCGGCCCCCCCCCAACCCCGCTCTCTCTCTCTCAAATATATAAATAAATAAAATCAAGGCCACAGCCTTGCCCTGATTGCAAATCTCCAGTGGTTTCCTGTTTCCCCAAAAGAAATTCCATTTGCCCAGCGTTTGAGGTCCTTACCACCTGGCGGGGATGAGTCACGATAGCACGCTTCCAGGTGTGGGATGAGGACCCCAGTGGCATGCTGAGTGATTTTAGGGATACACAGGGACAACATTAGGTGGCGTGTGCAATGATTGTGGGGTGGGAAACTGGTCCCTGTCCTTCCTCCCACCCACAGGTTGCACTTCCTGCTGCTTGCCCTGACTTCTAGCTCCACTCTCTCTCCTCAAACTTGAGTGCGCTTCTGTCTTTTCTCTGCCTTCCTATCCCCTGAATCCTTCTCCTGCAAGAGCACGCCATCCCTTTCCTGACCACAGCAATCACTCCCTCAAACTACCATCTCACTGCCTGTCTCTTTCACTCCTTTGGCTCTTAATATTCAACTGCTTTGTTTTTTCCCGCTACAAAGGAAAATCGTAAGGTCCAAGAAGGAGACACCTTGTGATACTGCTTCATCATAACCCCCAGGATTCTTTGGCATGAGGCTTTGCCCGTTGACTGTTTCTGTGCCCACCATCCAGTGACCCAGTCATCGACGTCCTCCTCGATCATGGCGGCTCCTGGTGTCAGACAACTGGCAGTTTGAATATCAGCTGTCACATCAGTTACGGACCTTGGGCAAGTCCCTTCCTCATTTATAAAATTGAACAACAAGGTGCCCAACTCAAGGGGGTTATCATGAGGATCAAATTCTGTCCAGCAAAGTCTGGCAAAGAGGAAGAAGTCAAATGTTGTCCTTGGAATCAGGAGTTGGTTTTTAGTTGCACTATCATCAAACAGCTGTTTGGGATCCTGGGATTCTGGTCTCTTAGATCACATCTTGGAATTTACATATGACATTCCAATTCGAGAAATGTAGATCAAAGGTGATCTGGGTTCTGTGAAAGAGGAAGTAGGGCATCCCCACCAATTTGGGGTGATGGGTCAATCACACTGCATGGAATTCTTTATGGATCCTCATGCAGCTTATCACCTCCACTTCTCATCCCCACTCTGAGCAATGGGGTGCCATTTAGAATAATGGGATAAAAAGCTTTGAGCATCATGACTTTGGAAGCCACCTTTGTAGGTGGGGGAGGGGTAGTTCCCAGTTCTCAGTGAGGCTACAGGGGTTGGTAGAAGCAGCATGGATTCAAGTTCTGGCTCAATGGCTCCCTAGCTGTGCGCCTTAGGACAAGTTCCTTCGCCTCTCTGAATCTTGGTTTCATCCACTCTAACCTGGGGATGATGGGATCTGCTGTTTGTCACCCAAGCTGATGTTGTTTTGCAACTGAAATGGAAATCAAACTGGAAGCTCTGGCCACCCACGCTGAGATCTGAGATAAACTGGGGCAAAGGGCTGATGAGGTGGAAGAGCCAAGGCCAGAGGGATTTATGGCAGCCCAGGGTTTATGGTTTTGATATGGATTTATTAAGCCGGGTCTAGGACTGCAGTAGCCTCCTCTGGCCCCCAGCCCCCACGTCCATGCTGGTAGCCGCATGGACAAGGCTTGTGTGGCAACGCAAGGCAAAATATTTCCTGGAGCTCAGGAGGGGAGGGAAGGGACAGGGGGAAGCAGGAGTGGCCTCGGGGATCTGCAGGCAGTTAATGGGTGCCCATGAGGCTGGAGAACTTGATGATTAGCTTCTCATTAGAAAGGGTCTGGATGGAGGGTTCACACTGAGCACCTGGTGGTGGGCACCTCATACCCAAAAGCTCTTACAGATACTCTGGTCTCATTCATTTTAATCCTGACAACACTCCCAGAGGGAGGCGCCATTCCCAGTTTACAGATGAGGCTCAGAGAAGTGGAGTTACACTGATCGGTGACTCCCAGGCCAGAACCGTTGTCACCTCCCTTGGGGAAGCTGCAAGGGTCGCCCTGGTGTTCCCACACCTGGGCATCCGGAGTCTAGCCTCCCAGCAAGCCCTCTCCCCCCATCACTGAATGCCGTGGTACGCTGGTGACATGTAGCAACTTGCTCCCCAGGGGCAAAGCCTTGGTCTGTAGCTCTTGCCCACTCTTGCCCCACTGTCACCAACAGTACCCCACTGCCAAGCATGAAGTTGGGAAGAGAAGCTAACAACTGGCTCTCTAGTGCATACCCCCGAGTGAATATGAGGTTGGGGTGCGTGGTGGCCACGGCACGAGCCCACCTACCTAGTTTATCAGCAGAAAGGACCAAGGTAGCAACAGACCTAGCTAGAAATTCTCGAGTGCGTCCTTGCCTTCATTCTTTTTTAAAACAACACTTGCCTTTATGAAATGTCCCCATGTCTCCTCATCCCCTACGGCCGGCCGTTGGCCCAGGTCCCTGGCAATGACCCAAAATCGGGCTCCATCTTGGACCCTGTTGCCATCCTCCCAGATCTTTCCATCGCTCTCCCACCACATCCCTCCCCTTTCGAGAGGGAGGGTTGACTTTCACTCTCCTTACATAGTGAGCGCTTGGAATCAGGGGTCAGGGTTAGAGTCCCACTTCTGCCTCTACCCTGAGCCTTGGTTTTCTCAGCTCTAAAAGGTGAAGGGGGACAAGGATAATAATGTCTAACTTGCTTACCTCTTGATGCGAGATTAGAAAGCAATAGTGTATATAAAAGCATTTTGCAGAGCATAAAAGACTATCTGACTATTCTCATTCTTGTTTCTAACACTTGACAAGGAAGAAAGGACACCCATCCAAGGACTTAGAAAACATATGTGCCATTTATTTTGCTTTATAAACTTTTGTTAAAACACACAAGAGTAAGAAATGGTTTTTTTGCTTCTTTGCCCCATTGGGCGGCAGTGACGGGCTCAGGGGTCCACACAGGAGCTGGTGGTATTCACACCCACAGGAAGCAGAATCGCTTGGTGTGAATTTCACAATTCATCCCAGTCAGGGAAAATCACAGAACAATTTGGCAAAAGTAATTGGCTTGGTCATCACACAAAGTCCAAGAGCATACACCTCCAACCCTCTCCTCTGTCCGTGCTGCAGGGAGTCATGTGAATTCTGGAAGCTCCTGAGAGCTGCCCAGAGAAAAGGCTATCTCAGGGGAGGAACTGGAGGGTCCATGCTTGCCCTCCCAACCCTTGTTTAGTTCTCCAGATTTTATATTTTAGGACCAGAACTCAGGTGGCAAAGAGAGAGAGAGAGAGAGAGATTTTCCAATGCCATATCCTCAGAATCAGAAAAGTAAACTGCTCTGTTTTGGGCTTCCTGCATTACAATAAAATTATTAAAATGGAATGGATTTCTCCTCCTGGAAGGGTTAATTTGGGGCTGAGGACTGAGCCCCTGACCCAGAAGATTGCTACTGTTAAAAGCCACTGCTAGCTTATTCCATCCTGTGGAAAATTCTTATCTCAACTTCGCTCCCATGACCGAGGCCTGAGCAACACTGGGGGCTGGAGGAGCAAAGAGTGGGAATGACCACAATGACAGAAAGATTCTGGCTTCCCCACCTTACCCCAGACGAGCCTGGGTTCCCTGACTGGGATTTCTGGGGACTCAGAATGAGGGATGGCTGGGAAGGCTTGAGAGCTCTGAGCATGGGACAGTCTCTCCTGGGACTGGGGACTTAGCTTGGAGGCACGGGCAGGCTGCTCCTGGGACCACTGGAGATGTAGAGGTTTCTCTTGGACATACTGCCCTCAAACCCCCCATGCCTCTGTCACAAAAAGCAATCACTAATGGTGGAATTTGGGGGCACTGCGGTCCTGCCTCCGTCCACTCAGAACAGTCAGCCTGGGGTGGGGATAGGTGGCCAGGCTAACTGTTCACTCTCCTACCTAAGCACAGCTCCAGCCCCACAACACATCTCTTTTGTTCCCAATGGCTAGTAGCACTTTCCAGAATTTTCCCAAAGCCACCAAAATTCCCAAGGATGATGTGCTGGCCGTTCCATTTTGGGGCTTAATGTTTCAGAGCAGTGCTCAAACCCAGGCCTTCTCATCTTTCCCTGGCCCACCCAAACTATCCCACTCTTGGACTGCCAGGCCACATTGGTCCATCTCCTAAGAACCAGACCCCTGACGCCCCTCCCCCGGACTTGGGGAGTGAGGAGAGGAAAGGGGTCCAAGAGTTATGAATTCTCCTGTTCTTTAGCAGACAGGATGCTGGACCCTACCCGGACATCAGTATAACTCCAAGCCAATCTTAGTCCTGGGTGTGGGCAGGGCCCCTGGGAAGAATAAGACTTTGGCTTCTGAGGCTGATGACAGGGGCAGGAAGTCCATCAACTGGCTCACAGTGAGGAGAGAGGGGCCCTTTCAGAGATGCTCAGCCACCCTGGTTAAGAACTCCTATTATGATCCAGGCAGACCTGGGATCCAATCCTGACTCAGCCACTTACTAGCTGTGTGAGTTCTAGGAAAATCACTTAACCACTTAGACCTCAATTTCATCTTCTGCAACAGTCTCTGGGTAATAGAGAAGATGCAATGAGATGATGCATGTCAAGTGCCTTAACACAGCGCCAGAAATGAGGCAGAGTTTGAGAGAGGCCCAGGACGGGGGTAATTCCTCCCTGACATCCTTCTGAGCTGAGCTCGCACCCATCCATCTTCATCTCCAGGTCTCCTCACTCTCACCTGGATCACATCACCAGCCCCCCATCTGATCTCCCTGCTCCCTCCCGGCTCACTGCGCATCCTCCCTAGCTACTCCCAAACCTCAGTGCCTCAGTCCTGGCATTCAAGGCTCCTATGCTGCTCCAAACAGCCTGGTCTTTCCATCACCTCCCCCCTGTGCCCTTCTTCCAACCTGGGGCCTTGCCCAGACTGTTTGCCCCTCCTTGGAAAGTCCTTCTCACCTGCTCCGCTGGCTGGAATCCAGCCCTTCCTTAAAGGCCTAATGCAGAGTCTGCCCCTTTCCCCGAACTTTCTCTGACCACTTCAGCCCCTCCAAGTTCCTGTTGCAATTGTCCACCTTGGGTTGTCCTCTCGTTGTTGACAGTCCGTGGAGAGCATCACCCCGAGTACCCACCCGATTCCCTAAGAAGGGAAGAGCCATGGGTTAGAGGTGGAATGGTGTCTTCCTTCTCAACAGTCCCACACTGTGCCTAGCCCAGCTAGTCTTTTAAAATGCTCCTGGAATGACTGGGGGACTGTTTGCAAGTCTTCTTCAGCCCCTGGAGAGGTGGCTGTGGAGAAATTAGGATGGCTGAGGAAGGTGAGAGTGGCAGGTGGAGAGAAGTGTTGGAGATTGGGGCAGCAGAACAGGGAGGGGTCAGATGCCCCGATCTGACCCAGCCTTGAAGGGCTCAGTGTCTGGGGACTAGGACAGTACTTGGAGAAAGAAGTACCAGTCTGAAGGGGAAGGGAGCTATTAAGCAAGGTCCCATGTCGTCTCCAGACAGCTGTCCTTTGGGGCTGAAGAAGTTGGGGGTAGGTATGATGAAGGGGAAGGCAGTGGCTTCAGCAAGAGAAGAGTTGTCCAAGGCAGCAGAGGATTTTCCATCTGGGGTCTCCCCAAGTCAGAGCCCTGTCATCCAGAGCAGGGGGTGGAGGGTAGCAATGGGATGTGGCCCACAGCCCAAGTTCTTGGTCCCCTTGCCCTTTCCACTGCTGCCCTGAGACTGGCCTTGTTGTCACAGCTTCCTTCACTGGGAACAAGAGACCACCGGGGCTCTCTGAGGGGGCTGGGAGGCCAGCAGAGCCCCCGACCCCCCGCGGCTTGCTAGATGACTTCCTGCTTGGTGATGGTCGGCTGGGGGATGGCAGAGGGGGGCTTGACAATGGTGGCAATTGCTCCCGGCAGGAGCTTGTAGGGCTCAGACCCCGAGCCACCTGGCGGTGAGGGCTGTGGAGTCTCAGGGGTGGCTGCAAGGACAGAGAGACAGACAGAGGCTGCTGAGAATTCCAACCTTTTGGGGAGTAACCAGAGTCTTGGGAAGGTTCTTCCCCCTCTCTGAATTAGTTTCCTCTTCTATAAAATGAAAGAATTAAACTACACAATCTCTAAGGTCTCCTACAGCTCAAACCTTCTGAGTCCCAGATCATGAAGTCTAAGTCTGGTGAGGTCGGGAAGGCTATGGCTGGGCCAGGTGTGGCCAGAGGCTTCTGCCCAGGTCCTACCAACCTCCATCTCCTCCACCATTTAACATGGAGATCGAGGCTGCTTCTCCCAAACCAGGGCCCAATTCTGACTCTCTTCAAGGACAGTGGGACATGTGACAGCAATGTCCTTTCTTGGAGAGAAAGAGCAGCAATTGATGAGACCCAAGTGTCTGGCCAAAAATACCATTTCTCTGATATTTAGGTAGATGAATAATGGAAACTAATTGGCCTCACAGCATCATGTATTTGAAACTCAACTTTGACCATGGCCCACTTGGCCAACTTTATTCGATGGACAAGTATCCCAAAGAACAATTTCATGTTAATGGACCACCTCATCCCAATGATACTCTTACTTTTTGGAGAATTTCGTCCAATGACAAACTCACTCTTGTGAGATTTCACCTCAGAGGACCATCTAGACCGGCGGACATCCCCACCTAATGAGTAGTTTCACCCAATGGTGTAATGGATAGTCTTACCTAATTGGGCAGTCTTACTTCAAAGAACAGTTTCACCTAATAGGCAACATCACCTAATGGGATTCTTATCCCAATGGACATGTTCACCCAATGGATCCCTCATCCCAAGGATAGCTTCATTCCATAGAGGCTGTTAATTACCCCACTGAATGAATGGCCTCAGTGAAAAAACAGCCTTAACAAATGGACAATCTCACTCCTCATTCCATACCCTGGAGCACAGAGAACTGTTATATCCCAGTTACCATCTTCTAGACCCACCCATCCTGGCTCCCCTCTTAGGTCCCAACCTCATCCCTTGCTGAGTAGAGCTCAAGTTGCCCACCTGCTTGCCCCCTGGGTCGGGGCCACTCACACATCTGTCCATTGCTGAGATGAGAGGGCATCGTGTTGGCAACAATGACATTCGTGCCCATGTGTTCCTGCATCAGATGTGGGTGCAGGGGATGATGGGCATGAGGTGCATCACTGGAGGACCCTGCAGGTAGAGAGAGACTCAGTCAGGTTGGAGAGTCTGATAAAGACCATGGGCCTTGAGGTACCTCTTCCTCAAGTGTGGCCAGTCAACCTGTTTGTCCAATATTGACAGTGCCTGTTGGCTACCGATTTCTGGGTTAGTAAACTGGGGCTTAGCATTCCTATCCATAGGTTCCATGAGGGTCTTGAGAGGACCCAACAAACCAAGAGAACAAAAGTTAAAAGAAAGAAGGAGCGTGTAAGGAAGCTGTGAGATCTAAATATTATAATGAGTAGTGTACTGGTTGAATATGAATGTAATGGATTTAATCAATGGCTCTCAAAGCTCCATGGCATGCAAGTCCTTCCATTTGGTGCCAACTCACCTTTAGCCTTGTTCCCCCCATGCCTCCGCTTCAGCCAAACTAACCTACTGATAGCACCTGAGGGTTCCCTGTACTTCCCTATCTCTCCTTTTGCTCATGTTCCTTCCATGAAAGATGCTTCCTCCACACCCCCATGTCCACCAGTCCAAATTCCAGCTCAGATAATTCCACCTTTGGGAAGCCTTTCCTGATTCTCCATACTCCAGTAGGAAATAAACCTTTCCTTCCTTGGAATTCCCATAGTAATTTATCTGTAACCCATCTTTTGGGAACATCTACTTTTCTGTCCATGAGCATTACAATTACAGATATATTCTTCTTCTCTTTGAGGGCCTAGCAAAGTGTCTAGAACACAGTAACTGCTTTAAAAACTGTGTCAGAATAATACCATATAAGATATAGTTTGGTAATGGCTGTGGTCAGTGGTGTGCCATGATGGGATTTTTAGGGCTTGCAAGAGGCCTCTAAAGTTTCGATGATAGCTATCAATATTGAGCATCTATTATGTGCCAGATACTGTTTTTTTTTTTTAATTTTTTTTTATTCTTATGTTAATCCCCATACATTACATCATTAGTTCTAGATGAAGTGTTCCATGATTCATTGTTCGTGCACAACACCCAGTGC